CCTCTGGTTCTAGTCCCTGCCCAGGAAGGGGATACTCATGCTCGGAATGCCTCGACGGCTGGTTCTGCCCCCCTCAGGAGACGCCAATGGTGCCTGCTCCGTGCGGGATGGGCTGGCCTTGCTACCACTGCAAAGGTGGCTGGTACTGTGCCCCTTCGGATGCAGTCGTGGGATCAGGAGGCGCCAACGGCCCGGCCAATGTGGTCATCACCACCGTGACTGCTTTCGTCCTTCCTGGACCTACCGCAGCTCCCGGAGATGGCGGCAACGGTTCTGGCAACAGCTCTAACAATGGTAACGGCAATGGCAACGGTTCTGGAGACGGTGCTGGTGACGGCTCCAATGGCGATGGGGCTTCATCAACTCCCTGCTCTACAGCAAAAGATTCCCTGCCGACAAATGCTTCTGGAAAAGGAGATGGCAACAGTAGCCCAGCAAGCAACCCCAATGATGGCTCTGCCAACGGCAATGGAAGTCCCAACAATGGCGAATCAGGCAACGGGAAGCCTACCGGCAACGGTTCCAGTACTGGCAATGGTGCTGCATCAACATCTGGCTCTACGGCAAACGCAGGTCAGCCAACGGGCAGTGGATCTGCCAATGGCGCAGGTCCGGGCAACCCACCAGCCAGCAACCCTAACAATGGCTCTGGCAATGGCTCGGGTAGCAACAATGGAGGCTCTGGCAACGGAGATCCCGCTGCTACGCCTGCGAATGCCGGTCCTGCCAACGCCGCAACGACGCCGTGCATAACCTCCAATGGTGGACAACCTACCGGTGGTGCTGGAGCTGGGGCACCTCCGCGTAGCGCATCTCCCACTGATCCCAACAACGGTTCCGGCGCAGGTAATGGCTCAGGAAATGGCTCTGGCAACGGCGCGCCTGACACGTCTGGTACTGCTACACCGGCCAACTCCCCTGATGGAAATGGAGCGTCTCCCGCACAATCTCCTCCCAATCCCAACGTCAGCTCTGGAGGCAACACTGGCAACGGTAACCCCAGCAATGGAGCGGGCGCAGGTGCTGCTTCAGGAGCGCCGAGTGGCAACGGAGCACCAGCCAACACGAGTCCGCCTTCACCGGCGTCAACTGGCAACGGAGGTGAGGGTGCGGGTGCTGGAGATCCCAAGGCAGGTTCGGGCAACGCCGCTTCCAACAATGCTGCACCCAAAGCTGCCTCGGACTGCTCTGGTTGGAAGCTTCTTGGCTGTTTCAAGGATTCAAACATCCGAACACTCGACGGCGACCCATCAGACTACTTTGCTGGTAGCATGTCCAACGAGAAGTGCATTGAGCACTGCGCTTCCATGGGCTTCAAGCTTGCTGGTACAGAGTATGGAACGGAGTGCTGGTGTGGAAACATGTTCCAAATCGCAGAGCGTCTTCCGAGAGAGCAGTGCAACAAGCCTTGCGACGGTCTGTCTACAGACATTTGCGGAGGTGACTGGGCCGCCACCGTGTACAGTGCCGATGGTCAAGCTCTAAGCATGCCATCTGATGACGATGCTGGCGACGGCTCCGGCGGCAATGGTTCTGGAGGCAATGGTGGCGCTGGCGACCCGAATTCCGGGAACCCTTCATCTCCACCTCAAGGCAACCCGCCCGCGGGGACTCCTGCAAATACACCGGCACCCACGAGCACCCCCGCGCCTGCGAACAATCCCGCGCCTGTAGCCCCATCTCCTCCCCAGAGCCAACCAGCACCAGCTCCCGCAGGTAACCCACCAGCTGCAGTGACACCTCCACCAACGCCCACTCCCCCCGGATTATCACAGGCAGAGTTGGAGGCTCTGCTTCAGAGCATCATCAACTCCTTGCCAAAAGGAAGCCCCGATGGTGGATACGGCAGCGGTCTGGGAGCAAGGGACTCTGGGGCTGGTGGCAACAACGCGCCCGCAGGTACTGACAACGGCAACGGTGATGGCGGTCTTCCCGATCTTGGACCGCTTATGGGGCCGGGCCCCGTCACTCCTCCTGAGGGGCTCACTGGATATGGCTCTGCGAAGAAGAGCGCGGCCAACCGGTACATGAAGCGCAGCAGGATCATAGGACGCCGTGCGGTCGCGGATCATGATGCTGACTGTAATGACGAGGTCGATGGACACAACGGAGGCTGCGCTGGTACGAAAGCCTAGGGTCGAAGGGTCTTATATTATCACGACGTTACTGACATTGTATGAATTATGGACGTTGGAGGAGTGGGTTTTGGCAAAAGAGCAGTACAGACTTTACGGGTTCAGGACGAAACATGTCACACCGCTTGAACTCAGATAACGTAATTGATTGTTGCTTCAGTATCACCCATAGCTGTCCCGTGGCTATCAGCTGCATGCTTCTTTGATATCTTGACCCTGTTGGTGATGATCTACCTCTGCCTTATTTGGCAAAGTCTGTCGAGTCACTCTTGCTTTTTCTAGATGTTGGTCGAGTAAACCATCTTGGACGTAGTGGTAGTAAAACACAGCAACTTCATTCGTCACGTTCCTGAGGCCTGAACCAATATTTTCGAATGCGAACTCACCACCGCAGACAACACGTTTTTGAGCGGTATGACCCGGGTTGTCGACTTCAGCAAAAAGCTCCTTTTGTGGCAACCATTTAATGAGGAGATAGCTGCCATAGCGGCTCTCAGTTCTTCTCGCCGGCATGGCGAAACGTTCCCGAGTTAGCGCCGGCTCCCAAGACGCGATCTCAACGTCGTCATCTTCGTCCACGTCGAACCTGTTGATCGCCAGGATCATTCGCGGGTAATAGCTGTCCATAAAGCGCTCAGGCAGGAACCACGAGACCAACTCGGCCTTGTCGGCCATGGCCATACGACTCTCAACCTCCCGCTCGTAGTGGGCGACGCACGCCCCTGCGCGTTCCTGGTTTGATGCGGTCTCTGGCAGAGGGAAGGCGACGACTTCGATCCGGTCTGGCGCGTCGCGGGACTTGTCGAAGCGGCGGCACATGGTGGTGCGGTCGAATAAGGCGCGCGCGAGGCGGGCGGTGCGGGGTGGCCGGGCGGTGGGTGTTGTGTCATAGACGACGCAGCCGAAGGCGGGACGGAGGGGGCGGAGGGCGGGCTCTGTCTCGGGGGTTGGTTCTGGGACTGCGTAGGCGGCGAAGGTTGGATGGGCGGAGTGGCTGGGCGCGGGCTGGACGATTGTTTTCTGGGGTGGTAGGGTGTAGGCGCTTGGGCGCGGGCTGTCGTCTTCCTCGTCGTCTGATGACAGTGCGGGCGGTTTCCAGCCGTCGTTGCGGCGGATGTTGCGGTTACAGATTAGGCACATGGTTGAAGTTAAGATGTAAGTGTGAGAAGTTGAGGGGTTGTTTGTGCTCGTCGGTGTTGTTGTTTTGTGGTGAAAGTGTTTTTTTCCCCTTCGATGGTTGGTGGTGTCAATTTATAGGCAGAGGAAACGTGTTCACGGAGTGATGGGTCTCTCTGCGCGTTGCTCTGCACGGGGACCAACGGCCTGATCCACTTCTACGCATGTTGCTGCCTAGAAGTGGAAAAATATCTGAATAGGCTTGAAGTCTGTTGGGAGGACTTGAGCAGTTCCGCAAGGTTAACACTTGCAGATGGCAGGCATCAAGAGGAGTCCGAAATTGAAAGAGGATTCGCGGATCTCACCATGCCCACCCCGGATCGCATGATCTTGCGAGGGCAGCCAGTGATTTGACCGCACCTGGGTGGTAGATTGACTTATCAAGACGTCGGCCCTCGTCATGAAGTCAGAGTCACCAGTAAACGAAAGAAAATAGTGCCGTTCGACGTCGTGATGCTTCCAGTTCTCAGTCAACCTATAGCAGTATGATTTTCAGGTTAACCACTAGGATAAAAGATGACTGCCATCAGAAGTAGTGATCAGCCCTGAACGAATGAATAGTGCGGGAACTTCTGGCGTGAGAAATCGTGTGACTTATTTCTCATATTTGTAGGGTGTCAATCAGATGTACGTATTTTGAAATAGACCAGAGTGAGATCCGTATATTTTATCCCTTGAGCTTTGGTGGCAGTGCCTCTGTGAGCATGGGTGGAGCAGAGTTGACAACTATCATACAGCATCTGGCATAGTGTTCGCGTACCGGCTGCAGGCGATTCGGCCTGTGGAAGCAGGTGGGCTTTCAGACAGTAATCCATCCTGTAGCGGCGAGGCTGAGGATGATGAATATGAGGAGATAGGTATAATTGAGGTGAACGAAGTCATACTATGTCGAGATCTGGATTTGCGGCCGTGCATTTACAGTGCGGGGAAGCCTGAGACTGAAGAGGGTGGAGGCTCTTATGTTGTGTTTAAAGCCATTGCTTGAAGACGATGAAGACGCCCATATCCTGATGCATTTTCACAATAAGGGGCACAGATCGCTATTTACTGCTTACTCAGGCCGTCTTGTCTCTTTTCCCGAGACCGTCGTCACGGGCCATTGATTATGTAGCTGTTGATTCATCATCCCACCGCCGGCCCATCCATGCCCCTTCCAGCTTTAGGGGGTCACTGGGGAGGTCTCTTTCTGTTTCTATCGGTGTCTTACTCGGTCAAGGGTAAGAGTTAGATGTGCATTGCCTTTTTAAGCCTTTTGTAGGGAAAGATTCAATGTATTGAGTAGTAATGTAGATCTGGCAGATTGGAGAATTACCGAAGACTACGCAACCAATAGCGAGATTGATGGTGTCTCTTGAGTGTCAACAGACGAAAGGTACTCGGCCAGTTTAAACCAAGAAAACTGGAACCTCATCCCAGCAGAACGAGACAATTCCCGAAAGCAAACCAACCCGAATCTCAAACCCTCGTCTAACACCAATGACAACTTATAGCTCGTCGCCATTCACACCAATCCAATTGTCAGCGATGACTACAGTCGTGCGGCCATTATCCATCGGAATTGGTCTCATGGACAAAGTAAATACCGAGCTTGAGAGAAGAAGGTGTTAGCCAGAATGTACGCAAGTATCGAGTCGGCGTCTCTGCCGTTGAAACATCAAGAATAAATGGGTTCACATGAGCGAAGGAAGCTTACTCAAACAAAGTCGACGTTGAGGCAGGCCCAGTGGCAGAATCGGTGACGGCAGGGTCAGAGCCAGACGTGGTTCCGGGGTTGGAGATACACACAACATCACCAACATAGCGACCCACGTTTTGGCACGAGCTCCCGAGCTCTGCGTTCCAGGACACAATCTGGGCCCACGTAGCTTTCGCAGTATTGGCGATGTTGGTGCAGGTGTCGCCGGTTTTGATGATATAAGGGTCGCAAGTGAGGGCCGTGGGAATACACAAGGAGGTTCCAGCGACGGTGGGGAAATTGCCGCACCTGGTGATCAGGTTGTTTGCCATCAGCAGCTGAGCAGTGTTGATGCGCTGCTCCTTTGAGACAGACTGGCACGTGTCTCCTTCCTTGATGGTGTATATCTTGCCGGCACACGCGGCCGCTGCCGTCGAAGTTGGAACTGGTGCAGTGCCCCGGGAAATCCAGGCAGGGGTTGCGAGGGGTGGAGGCGTCACGGCTACGGTCGTTTTGCAAGACGAGGCGATCTGGCTGAGCCCGCTGGCCAGGTCGACATTAGACGCCAAAGGCATCTCGAGCTGTGTCTTGATGACGGACAGTGCGCACTCGTTACACATCATGCTTGGGTCGCTTGAGGCGGTTCTCAGTTGATTCTCCGGGTTGACGCCGGCCAGTTTGCCTAAGGCCAGGTTGCAATTTTGTCCGGCGCTGGTATGCCAGGTGCGGTCAGCCTCATTGTTACTTTTCGTTGTTTAGTTGAACGTACGCATTGGATGCACAAAGCACGTTGAAGCGCTCCCAGACCAGCTCGGCCGTATAGCCGGCGTGGTAACTGTATCCGTCAGGACCGTCATATCGACTGGTACTGCAGCCGGCCTTCACCTGCTCGATATAAATGTCCAGAGAGGCTCTGCAGTCTGACGTGCAGAGTGAGTCAATGGTCGTCTCGTCGTTAAATTTGTTGATCTCTGTCGCCCACGTCAAAGACAGGTCGCAGTTGAGCGCCTGGTTGAGGACTCTGACGCAAGTATCGGTATAACCTTTTGTGCCTTGAGGGACGTTTGGGAGGCGAACATCTGCAACGACTTGGTAGTTGGAACAAATAGAAGCCCAGACGGCCAAAGACGCAAACTTGGTAACGAGGTTCATGTTTCTAGTTCACTGGCTTGGAGGTAGATTCGATGCTGGTTCAACGGCGTGATGAAGAAGAATGAAGGTGCGGCATTGAGGATGTAGGCGGAACGAGCTTGAGCTGAAGCATCCTCTTCTTAGGCAGCAGCACCAACACGAGATGGACTCATGCGTCTCCCAGGTCTCCCTTCGCTTGTAGTCACAGGCTGCGTCTCAAACCAGGGTGTTTTGCTGCAGACATGGGGGCGACTGGGCCCGTTCAAGAGCTTGTTGGCGCTAAACTTCTGACTGTGGGACTATCCACAACACCCAACGAGGTTATTGAATCGCGCCAAGATGACACCGCCGTCGGCAATGCTAGTTCCTGGGCAAAATGCTCCAATGCATAGGTTGGCGCTGCAACGCCGCAACGCCCAAAAAGCTTAGCCTAACGTTCTCGGTTCTCGGAGAGTTTCCAACTGAATTGCTATCACTCTTCTTTCTCATGTTTTTTTTATCATAGCCTCTTTCCCTTCCTTCATGTCTGCTGCAAACAGTGAATTTTGCGACACACAAACCAGCCGGAACGGCTCGGACGCTAAGCTCACAAAGACCCTTGCAATAAAGTACATGGAGCGCCGGATGTTGGTACCGGCGACCGGAAGCTGCGACTGGCAAGGGTCATTTTACGAATGGACACCTCTTGATCATTTGATTCCCCATATTATAAAATAACCTGTTCGCATCTAAGACCGAGCTCGCGCTTAAGGCGGATAAGGGTGGCCTCTGCCCTGAGTCTAGATGTTGACTCGAACAACAGCCATCTAACCAGATGTGGCAGTTGCCGTTACTGATTAGACAACAGCGGCCTGTGTTTCCGTCTTTCGTAGTCGGAACTCACATTTGGTTGGTACTATGTGGGTTCTTAGACGTTCTGAAAGTTCAGGTGGATGCAATGTAACCTCGTTCCAACAGACAAGCCCACGATGAGATGCCCACTTCCGAAGAAGGCAATTTGAGACTCAACCAGCAATGTCGACCGCAGCGGCGGCCATAGGTGACATGAACAAAATTCCAATACACAGGCCATACCTCGATTGCGTCGTGAAGTCCTTGACCATGCATCTCTGTTCAACTCACGCTCTCTACCTCCGGCATCGTGCCTGAAATTCCACTCACTTACTTCCTCCGTGGCGACGCTCGCCGTACGGAGAAGCCGCTCTTTTGAATCTTTCCTTTATCTTTCACATTCGTTTTACCGCGTCTGCTGCAGCAAGAGGCACTAATCTTGAGCTATCATCATGTAGTTTCTTGCAACGCTCCTGCTGGCAGTACTTCTTGCTGCCAGAAGCGTCGAGAGCAAGTCAGTCTTTGCCCATTTTGTGGTTGGCAATACGGAAACGTTTGACGTTGCTAAATGGGAAGACAACATTGCCCTTGCACAACAAGCACACATCGACGCTTTCGCTCTCAACATTGCACATGGCTGGAAGTTCAACGACCAGCAAATCGCCAACGCTTTCAGTGCCGCCAGCTCTAAAGGCTTCAAGCTTTTCTTCTCCTTTGACTATGCCGGTGGTGACGTGCCTTGGTCAATGGCTGAAGTCAAGGCCCTCATCCAAAAATACGGCTCCTCCTCGGCTCACTTTCAGTACAACGGGAAGGCGTTTGTCTCAACATTTGAGGGTCCCGATAACGCTGACGACTGGAAGAGCATCAAGGCCGATACAGGCTGCTTTTTTATCCCGGACTGGTCTTCACTGGGCGCAACGCCTGCCGTCAAGGCTGGAGATGGTGTGGCAGATGGTCTTTTCAACTGGGCCGCATGGCCCTACGGTGAGCGCAACATGACGACTTATATCGACGCGTCCTACCATCAGCTGCTTGGGGGCAAGCCATACATGATGCCCGTATCCCCTTGGTTCTTCACCAATTTGCCAGGCTACAGCAAGAACTGGCTGTGGAAGAGCGGTGACCTGTGGTACGAGCGCTAGAAACAGGTGGTCTCTATGGACTTCGAGCCCGAGTTCTTAGAGATCATCAGCTGGAACGACTACGGCGAGTCACACTACATCGGCCCCCTCGATGACACCCAGTACGAGGCCTTCGACGTGGGCGATGCCCCGTACAACTACGTCAAGAATATGCCCCACGATGGCTGGCGAGAGCACTTGCCCTATCTCATTGACTTATACAAGACCGGCACTGCTTCCTTCACAAAGGAGAGCATTATCACCTGGTTCCGAACCTCGCTGAGCGACACCTGTGCCGACGGAGGTACCACTGGTAACACAGCCTCCCAGCTCCAGCTTGAGTACCATGCGCGTGACCTGACGCCAGACCGCATCTACTTCTCCGCCCTCCTAGCCAGTCCGGCTGAGCTCAAAGTCTCATTTGGAGGTAGAGACTACTCTATCACCGATTGGGACTACACTCCTGACGGGGGCGTGGGCGTCTATCACTCCAGTATCCCCGTGCTTGGAGCTGGCGGTGCATGGCATGTGCAAGTTGTCAGGAGCGGCAATACCATCATCGACTACGCGGTGCCGCAAGGCATCTCGGGAGACTGTCCTAATGGCGTCACCAATTGGAATCCATGGGTCGGATCAGCCTCGAGCTCAGGATCAGTTTCTGGAAAACCTCCGCGTGACCTGTCTGAACAAGTCTGTATTGCAGGCTGGGGCGAGGGCAACTTCAACGACCTTTGCAAGTTCACTTGCAAGCACGGCTACTGCCCTTCGAGCGCCTGTATCTGTACCAACATGGGAAAGGCTATTGAGAAGCCCAAGTCGACAGGAGTCTTGGGGTACCCCGGAAATGGCGACACGAATTACGGTGGTCTCTGTAGCTTTGCCTGCAATCTGGGATACTGCCCGTCGACAGCGTGTTCCACGGAAAAGCAACGCGACTACGTGCCAGCCACATCGCCCTTCAACCCAAACACGTGCGTAACTGGTGGCGGACACGGCAGCTTTTCTCGCATCTGCAACTGGGCATGCCACTATGGCTTCTGTCCCATCTTTTCCTGCTTCTGCACCATGGAGGGTCCCCTCAACTTACCACCCCCTGTGGTCAAGGTCAGCGGCGTCAAGTCCAACCTGGGCAACGACAACGGCCTCTGCGCTTTCACCTGCTCGCACGGCTACTGTCCGTCTCCAGAATGCAGCTCAGATAGCTCCGATGGGTCTGATGGGAGCAACGGCAGCGGCAGTGCGATGGACATCATTGTGGGATACTTCCAGGCAGACAGCATCTCGCGACGGGGCTGCGCCCAGCGATCAGCCAGCTTCGTGCCGACAGACTCGGTCAGTCACGTCAACGCTGCGTTTGCCTGGATCGAGTCCGCCACATTCGCCTTGATTCCAGACGCCAACACCGGTGCAGACCAGCTCAAACAGCTCGCAGCTCTCAAGGGTCAAGCCACCGGCCTGCACGTCTGGCTGACCCTCGGAGGCTACGACTTCTCAACTGGATCTAGAAGGGCATCCGACACGCAGGGAATCTTCAGAGACATGGTCAGCACTCGTGAAAACCGCCAGAAGTTCTTAGTTAACCTGGCGTCTTTCGCAATACGGCTTCGATGGCGTCGACGCCGACTGGCAGTGGCCCCAGGCCGGCGATGATGCAACAAACTACGCAATTCTGTTAGATGAGATGCGGGAATACTTTGATACACAGTCCACAGGCTCCACGGCATGGGGAATATCGTGCACCCTGCCAGTTGACTCTTCCATCCTTGGACGCTTCGATCTAGCGTCCATAGCCGCGTCGACAAGCTGGATCAACCTCGTTGCCTACGATCTGGAGAGTACAGACAAGAGCACTACTCGGGCCATGTCCGACAAGAGTGTCATTGATGCGGCACTCAACTTCCTCACGAATGCCGGGGTGCCGCACACTCAGATCAACCTCGGCATTGGCTTCTTTGGCCGGACTTACACCCTTTCCGGCAAGTCTTGCACCGGGCCTGGTTGTGCTGCTTCTGGCTTTGGAGTTGCGGGAAAGTGCACTGGACAGCCTGGTTTCCTGTCTTATGATGAGATCTCAAGTGAACTTGCCATTGACGATGGTATGGTGGACGACAAGACTGGCATCAACTATCTCAGGTACGTCGGCTGGCATCACGACCTCTTCATTCATCAACTGTGGTTGTCATATGTGTATACTGACGATTGATATAGTTATGGCGATAGTCAGTGGATCTCCTTTGAAGATCGCGACTCCATCATTGAGAAGGTCAAGTACGCTAAGAGCAAAGGCCTTCTTGGTGTCGCTGTCTGGGCTATCGATCTGGACAATGATGATCACTCCCTCCTCAACGCCACTCTCTACCCGGGCGGCCTCGGAAGCCTCTCATTGACAACCGGCACCAACCACGACGACTCATCCAACTACACCAACGTAGAGATCAGTGCCTGCGCCTGGTCTGACTGTACAACGTCAACCATCCCGCATTGCCCTGCTGGCAAGCAGCTTCTAAACATTGACCGCTGCAGCGTGGAGCCAGGGTCGGGAGCAAAACGTTACAAGGGCCTTTGCTGTCCTCTGGGCCAAACACCCGACTTCGAAACCTGCGGGTGGAATCGGCTCGACGGCGGCGATTGCGGGGGAGGATGTGAGACCAACCAGGTCTCCATCGCTTCGGACAAGTGGTTCATCAATAAGAAGGGCGTGGAAAACTACTGTTTCTATGGCACGGCCACCTTCTGCTGCGATGCGGTAGAAACGGGCGAGAACATTTGTGCCTGGGAGGACACCTGTTTCAACGTCGGCTCCAACGGTCTTCCTACGTCGAGCAATGTTTGTTCAAAGGGCCGCAAATTCGTCACGTATGCCAAAGACGCCCCGGGTCACGGATCTTGCCAAGGAGACGCCAAGGTCAACTCGTGGAAGGCCTACTGCTGCGACCAGGACGTTAATACATCTTCCTTTGGATGGTCTGGCGTTGGAGGCTTTGACGACGACGGGTCAAAGTGCAACTCGGCGAAAACCTGCCCTTTAGGCAAGACCGCCATCGCCACATCGAGTCTCGGCGGCGGCGCAGACTGCACCTACAGCGAGCTGTCCGGTTCCATTTTCATCAAGCCTGCGCTCCCCCATAGGGTCCAGCGCACGCTTTGCGCCGACCTCAACGCACTGAGGCGGCAGATCAAGACGCTCCCCGTCCCGGTGGAGAATATCTTCCCCCACCCCGGCCCGTCGACCGACAAGCAAACATGGGACGTCAAGCTGGACCCGACCATGGGCGGAGCGGATCCCACCCCGGAGGAGAGCACCAACGCGGACAAGAACTCATTTGGCTGGTACATCATGTCGGGCCCTGAAGACGAGCTTACGTCTTTGAACAAGCGAGACGGGTCTCACTGGGAGCTTTTCGACTGCGAGGCAGAGGCTCTGCATGAGAAGCGACAGACTGTCCGGGCAGTGTGCACCGATAACTCTGACAAAAGCAACTGCGGCCTCATCCACAAGGGCCGGGGAGTGGCCGAGACGGTGGTGGAGATGCCGGACGGTTGCGGTCCCGGGAGATACGCCATGGCTGTCTCTCTGACACGGTCTGACAACCAAACGCTGCCTCATCGCCTGGTCAAGAGAAACCCAGAACTGATCAACACCCACGTTTACGACTTTGTCTTTGACTACGACTTTTCTCCTCTGCGGAAACGCGCCCAGGGATTCAACGTGCTGTTACGCATCGACTACAGCGATGACCCGGGATATTGGAGCGAGATCGTCGCCGCGGCGCCGACCAAGCTGAAGCGATCCAGGCGTGAGATAGAGGAAGAGGTTCACCGCCATCACGATGGCTCGTACAAGAAGTACATGTACCACCTGTGGTCGATCGACAAGCGGTCTACGCCGCAAGACGAGCTGCATGACCTCCATGCTCGCTGGTTCTCAAAGTCGGGGGCGATCAAGGACTGGATGGACCGGCTCCGTAACGTCGACAAGGAGTACGAGCTTGTGCGACACCGAGTCAACGAGTTGATCCGCTGGGATCTCTACGACGAGTCAATATCTTGCAACATCAAAGGCGTCGACACGGTGGGCTACTTCAAGGCGTGGGCCGACTTGAACGTCAACATCGAGACGTCGGCTCTCGTGACCCTGATCGGAAACATGGGCGACCTCAGCACTTTCGAAGAGTCTCACGTTCTGTTCCGCAACAGCGGCTCCGTCAAGGCTTCGTTCAACCTCGAGGCGCTGGTGACCATGCATTTCCTCACGGGCCAGGTCGAGCTTTTCGGCCTGCAGAACTTCGGCGCCACCTTCAGCGTTCCTGGCATCGTGACGATTGGCCCCAACTTCCGAGTCCTCGGCCAGCTCCAAGGCACCGCCACGATGCACGGCCAGGCCCGCGTCGACCTCACCCTCGCCGAGTGGGACTTCACCCAACAGTTCCCTGACGCGAACGGAGCGGCAGAAGACGTCCTCACGACAGATGCCAGCCCCAACTCAGCCAGAGTGGTGTCAGCGGACCCTATTCAGACGTTGCAGGCATCCAAGTTCTACTACGATGTCTCTGCCAGCGGCGAGCTTGGTCTGATGGTGACGCCCAAAGTTACGCTTGGCATCGTCTTTAATGATAACTCTATTGCGGACGCCTCCGTGAGTAGCCGGATCTACTGCTGACAGAATACTCTAGGCTTTTGCTAATCGTGCTGTTAGATCGACTTTGGCGTCAACGGTGCTGTTACCTTGTACGGCTCAGCTGGCTCGAATTCGAACAAAGCTTGGGAGTATTGTTATGGTGTCAACGCCCAAGCTGAGGGGTTTGCAGAAGTGTCAGCCCCGTAAGTAGTTTCATGGTCACCAGGCTGCCAATTCTTACTAAACCTTGATTTTCAGCTCCCTGTTTCGAGTTAACCTCAACCGACATTACAGCATTTGGACCACTGGAACGGTACGTTGCTTCATTTCTTTCCAGGATATCGCTTCCCAGGAGCTTTTATCTCTGTGGGCTCACCAACTTCATCCAAGTCATTCCTGTTGTCAGCCCTGTCATTGTGCTTGATGTCCATCATCTTTGGCTGTTATCTTCGGTCGTCGTCTCTGGCGCTTGCCCTCAGTTCTTATTCTCGTCTTCGTCCCCGTCATCATCGATCTCAGTCCTGCCAGGTTGTCGTGTCTACTGGTGGTGTCTGGTCGCCATCTAGATTGTTGCTTTCAAGCCCTTGCTATGGCGTTCTGTACAGCTCTTCGAGAACAAAACTAATACTTTCGATAGTTTCCTGTCGTTGAGAAGACATGCGCTGCCGCGTCTTCGCTCACAGAAACACAGCCAAGCAAGAGGTCTACCAAGCTGATGAAGAGAGACAACTTGATTGGATCCCTGATTTGCCCCGCAGAGTCTACGACAGACGCTCCCAATATCGGCACCTGCCCAGCATGTGGCATGAGCGGTGGAGAATCTCGAGTCAGGAAGAGGTATGGTTACATCTTCCAGGAGAGGGCCGATGCATGCCCGCTTCCGAGTGCCAATACCTGCTCGTGGGGCACCGTCTCTGCGCGCTCGACACCGGACGATGAGGCCAGCCCGTTCCTGGTCGGGCGGCAGGCTCAGACGAAACCTAAGAAGGGTAACGTCGTTTTCGGGCCCAACTACACGCCCATCGAAGTGGATTTTGGGTCGTATTTGTTCTGCAAGTACGCCCAACTGAGCAACTTCATCCTCAGGAACCTCGTCGCAATTACTCCCGATGAGGTTTGCAACCCTACCATTACGTTGCAGGACGACGCCATGGTGACGGCCCTATACTCGCAAATCGGCTTTTAAACGGAACACGTGGACGAGGCGCACACGTTGGTCGACTTTTATCAGTGGCTCGGGCGGGGCGCCGGCACGACGGTAGGCACCTACTCGATGGCCGAGCCGGCATGGGTGGCCGAGGTGATACTCGGGGAGCTCATGGCGGGCTACGGCACTGGCCAAATTTGGCAAGGCTTCGACGTCAGGGCACTTGGGCTCATTGGGAACCCTGTGCTTTCTACGGTGCACGGCATTATAGCGCAAGGATTCGGCCGGTCAGACGTCAGGGCAAATAGGTTCCCCAAAGACCGCAGCGAGAGCCTTCTCACGTTGACGCAATGGGAGGTGAACCAATATAAGGGGACATGGATGGGTGGCAACTCCCCCAGATCCAACCTTGGCGCGGCCTCTGAGGTGATCGACCGGCTAAAGATCCGCAACGCCGTAGCCACCTTCACGTACCTCAACTTCGTGCCACCTGGCGCACTGACAGGCCAGAAGTACACAAAGGTCGAGGCTATCTGGAATACATGGATGCGCGTCTCCAACTGGATTGACCTCGTGTTCTATCATTTCGACTTGCAGTTTACTGCCGCGGGAGGTTGGGCTGCGTGGCCCGGCCACCCCGTCAACAGTGCTGGCGGGAACCCTTCAATACGCGCCTTACATGCGCGCTTCGTTGAAGACAGACTGACAGCCATTGAAGCAAACGCGGCCACCTTCCTCTCGAGCTCCGAGAGGGGCTACCTTGCTGCGTGGTCTTCCATTAACTCTCAAGGCCAGCGCGTTTGGCGGGATGTTGATACCGGTGAAGCATGGTATAACACAGCCGTTAATCCGCGCTGGAACGGCTGGGCTACAGCTGCGAAGGCTAGATTTCCGAGGGTCGCGTCAACCCCCGGATGGTCCATCTACGGCGCTACAGGCCATTCAGGGATGATGGTGGATGGACAGGGGAATTTTGTGACTAATATTCCGGCTCCGGATCGCATATAAGTTCTCTGTTACTACTGTTTGATCTGTCACAAGACAAGTTCCCACGCGGATAGGAGTCTATATAATATCTATTGTCCTCATCGTTCTCATCATCAATGTCGTTACCCTTGCTCGCATCGTCATTACTAACTCTCAATATTACTGAGTGAATGAGTACATAAGAAATCGAGGAGTGGAAACGTTTGACGATGCAAACTGATCATATATTGAAAGCACCATAATCAACCCCGCCTGGCCATCTCTAGCTGTAGGTCGAGTACGCCATCGGGTATAAAGTGGTTGTAGAAGACTTCAACCGCATCCACTAACTCCATACAGATATTCCCAAAAATCTCAAACCCATAGCAGGGGGTGACGATCTCTTTATCCATATCCGGCTTATAATCTCGACCCGTGTGTGAACGCCACAGCTCCTTACGGGGCTGCCAGTCGATGCAAAGAAAACTACCAGAACGGCTCGCCCCGGGATTCATACAAGCTTCACACTCGATAGCGTATTCTTCGTTGCTTATCGATTCCTCCCAGGACGCTACCTCGACTTCGTCGTCATTATCGTTTTCTTCCAAGCGGTTGATAGCAAGGATCCTCCGCGCGTAGGTGCTATCCATAATACGCCCCGGCAGAAACCAGGAGACCGCCTCGGGCTCGTGAGGTATTAACAAACGGCTCCGGATCTCCTCCTCGTGGTGGCGGATACAAGCCTCAGCGCGCTCAGCATCTGTGGACGACTGGGGCAGAGGTAGCGTGACGACCTCCACCCGGTCCGGTCTGTGGTTAGGCTTGCGACGATACCAGTAAGTGCGGTCAAATACGGCGCGTGCAAGCTGGGCACTACGGGTAGGGCGAGCGCTGTGCGTCGTGTCGTAGACCACGATACCGAACGGGGGACGCAGAGGTCGGACTGTAGCTTCAAAGTCTTCTGAGTTCAAGTCTTCTGGGGTGTTTTCGAAGACTTAGTACGCGGCGAAGGTTGGAGCGCCGTCATGGCTGGGCGCAGGCTGGACGACGGTCTTCCATGGAGTTGGCGGATGGAAATATCCCGCTTCCACTGCCGTTTCCACCAGGTCTTCGTCGCATATTTGCTGCTGGACCTCCTCCTGTCCGTTCGGAGGAATGAAAGACCAAGGGGGGTGGGGACAAACTCTACACATCGTAATGCTGGTTCTTGATGGGTGAAGGGGGTTTAGATCAAGATTTCATTTTATCTTTTCTGTTGTTGTTTTTGGGAAGTTTTCACAGAAAGGAAATGGTGGGTGTGGTGACCAACACATGCATGGGTACTTACCTAAGGTAGGTACGGAAGACTCAATTGGCCGCGCCGCAACTATGTTTCCACTTTTGCAACAGTGGATTGGTGCGGGTGAGGCGGCATGTGCAAGGATTCTCCAGGAAAAGCGAAAGCTGAGAGGGCGGGGAGCAACCAACCTAATCGCCGTCGCTTTGCGACTTGCAGCAAGCCAACGGATCTTTACAGGTACTTTATTCGGATTTCACACCGTAGACTGTCCACCACCACAGGTATCGGTGCCGGACGCTCCGGCTCTCGGTTCGTCACGTAAGACGCACTTTTTATAGGCGCGTCCCCGAAAAACTCCATTTCGTTAAGTCTTAACGAAGGGTTTCTTATCCCAGCGCTGTCTTTGGTGTGTGCAGTACCGAGAGAGCGGTTCAAAAAGCCCTGAACCAGACCAAGTGGCTTAGAAAAGCTGGAGAAGGGCTTTGTCACACTGCAAAGTTTATGAATTTATACTTATTCAGTGAGGAACGACTCATCCCTGCCTCGCCAGTTATAGCCGTAACATAAGGAACGATCCCGGATGATACCTCATAGATAGCTGTTTTGGGCTCTCGCCTTTAGCATCTCTCTCTACCTAGTTGATCTATAAAATTCGACGACATTCGTACGATTGGTTTTCCTTGTCTTTATCTGCGCCCCCACCGCTAGATCACACTAAATCCATGAAGCCACGAGATACAACATCGCATTCAGATTCTGACATGGATGGCTATGATCGCCATTGATTGGATAATTTAGGCTACGCATGGTAATTTGTGGCAATGCGTCTTGCGTGCTGTTATGGGGGTCCTGGTTGGGCTGTCTGGCAAAATGCCTAATAAACCCCTTAAAACAGTGGCTAAAACATGACCAATCCTCGCTGTGACTCTGGCTGAGGTTGAGTCTGAATGAGGAGGGCGTTTTTGTTCCTCGGCACCCCTCATGCTCCACGTTTGAGCAACCCGCCTCCTACTGGAAGTCTTATTCAAACTGACGGTCAAGAGGTCAAAGACGCGGTCAAATGAGGTTCTTCACTTAGGTACGGACCAATGGTGATATCTTGAAGAACTCTTAAATATATGAAGGCCATGACAGGCGCACATATTCTGATTCGATTCAGCCCAAAGACGTCTTGCAGCCAAAGCCTCGCTTTGTTTTCAGTGGCTCATGATGGCTCATCTCCTCAACGACTGAGACATGGTCTTTTTCCAAGCCACCAGAGATACAAGGCTTACAGCTAAATCACGCGCTTCAAGTGTCGTTTTCAGTGCTGCGGAGTCTGAGGCCCTCTTCCAACTGGCTGCCCCCAGCCGTTTGGAAAAAAGACCATGTCTCAGTCGTTGGGGAGATCAGCGCAGGCTTGCACAGCCTTCAATCTGCAGTTCCCATAGGCTCGCCTTCCCCCCATGTGATTCCAGCCCCATAGGGTGCCGCCTAACTCGCCGACCAAATTGAGTGCTGAAATCTTTCGCTTTTCGCAGTCGAACTTTGACCTTTTTCCTTCAATGTTTCAGCATTGCAATGGATCCTTTGAACGCAGTCAGCCTGGCGGCTAGCATCCTTCAGTTTGTTGAATTCACAGCAAAACTAGTGAACGACGGCCGACAGATTTACGATTCTACGCAAGGCGCTACACTCGAAAACTGCGACCTCGAGGCTGTGACACAGAGCCTTGTTTTGATTACTCGACAAATATCTCACAACACTCACGATGACCCGTCGGTTGGTCACCATGGTCCAATCGTCGATCCCGATGCACCGACTGAACAGAATCTCAACGATCTCGGTGCGTCCTGCCAGGATGTTGCCAAAGAGCTACTCGATGCGCTGGAGCATCTAAAGGCGCCCGTCAGTAGGAACAGGTGGACAAGCATCGTTGATGCCCTGAAAACTGTTTGGGCAAGAGGCAAGATCCAGGGGCTGCGTAATCGCCTTGACCAGTACCGTTTCGGAATTAGTACTGCTCTTCTTGTGTCGCTGAGGTTAGTTTCCTGTCATTTGTGCTCCTTTAGAGTGATTGCTAATAGTCGTCGATAACAGGGATCGCATGTCGATAATCACGACCGACCTGGAGAAGTTGCGATGCGGGGACGAAATGGCAAGGCTGAAGGCAGACGTGCTTGGAGCAATCCAGGGAGCCAGAGCGGAGGTTACTCCAGGAAGTGACGACTCGAACGTAGAAATCATGAGAAGCCTGTGGGGAATGACCGCCAAAGAGAAACAACTGTTCATACAAGACCGTTTGCTCGAACAACTCTCTTTCCAGGACCAACCCGAACGCGAACACAGAATTGCCGAAGCACATGCCAAAACCTTTCGCTGGATTTGGACCGATCCTACAGGCCAACCCGATAAGCCATGGTCCCATTTCGTTGCGTGGCTGGAAGGAGACGATGACAGGCTTTATTGGATGACCGGCAAAGCTGGCTCTGGGAAGTCGACAATGATGAAATATACGTTGTTCACCAACAACAGTGCGAGGAATCACTGCGAAGATGGTCCGGCAAAATGCCTCTGATCGTGACAAGGTTCTACTTGTGGAACTCAGGATCGCAAGACCAAATGTCACAGGAGGGTTTGATTCGCGCAATTCTTTATGACTCTCTCTCTCAACATCCCGAGTTTATCCCCAAGGTCCTCCCAAAACGATGGCAACGCTGTCAGCTATTTGGGTCTGATCTACGCGATTGGGATACCGTCGAACTTGAAAAGGCCTTCGAATCTTTGGCAGAAGCTGCAGATGGCAGCTCTAAGCTTTGTCTCTTTGTGGATGGACTTGACGAGTTTGATGGCGAGCACGATTTACTGATTCGTCTTTTCCGAATGGCGATCTCGTTTCCAAACGTCAAAGCATGCCTTCCAAGCCGCCCATGGCCTGTTTTTGAAGAAGCATTCCAACAGGAACCAAGCCTTAAAGACTTGAAGACATTACGTTCCCGGACATTGTGGCCTACGTTACCGATCACCTCACAGCGAATTCCGGCTATGCGGCTTTGAAACGAAGAGAGCCCGAGTTCTCTTCTACACTGATTCAAAACATTGCCAAAAAGTCTTCTGGCGTATTCCTGTGGGTCACGCTGGTAGTCAAGTCCTTATTGGCTGGGTTATCGAACAGAGATCGCGTATCCGACCTCCAGCGAAGGCTAGACGAACTTCCAGGGGATTTGGAAGACTTTTACCAGAAGATCTTCGACAGCATCGAGCCACGATATGTTAAACGTGCAAGCCAACTATTTCGCCTCGTTGAAAGTTCAAAAGGAAAGTTGACTTCACTGGGCCTCTCTTTTATAGACGAGGATGATTCAAAAATACTTCGACTTACGACGGAAGCCGCTGTCTTACCTTTGAGTGATCAAGAGAGCCTTGATCGGTATGAAGATACCAGGAGATTGCTAAACGGTCGTTGCAAAGGGTTTTTGGAAGTCCCAAACATCGAATACGACGATAACGCACATGACGCAAGTGAATCCTATAGAGGGAGCGAAACTGAATCCGACAGAGAAAACAAAAGTGGAACGTACACTGTACACATCGTACCTCCACCCCTCACTACACCGAAGCCAAATGAATGGGAACCTCCAACCCCCACTACACCCAAGCCGAATGAATGGGAGATCCAACAACAACATGGAAACTGCAGCAAAAGAAGTCGAAAACCCTCCGCCTGAACTTCGGAGGGTGACATATCTTCATCGTACTGTCAGGGACTTCCTACAGAGCCAACATATTAGACGCGCCATCTCCAGAAACTCAGTTGACTTTGATCCAAATGTCTCACTATTTTGTGCAAGTTTGATGATGGTCAAGACATGGAAACTGCCATGCCAACGTTGGAGCCAGTTGCAAACACTTGGGACAGACGCGTTGTTGTATGCAGCAGCAGCGGAAATTCCACCCGACACTAAGGCTGTTGCTCTGGACGAACTCGACAAATCAATGCAGTACCATCACCGAAATAATGCCAGACACATCTTTGGGGCCAGCTGCGATGATAATGGTAACTGGGCTGCGGCATGTGCTTCTGGTGTAGACTCCACTCCGTGTCAAACGTTTTTGGAGCTAGCTGCCTCTTATAGTCTCCATGACTTTATCAGCCTGAAGATATCCGGCCATGTGGATATCTTTGCAGACCATGCTGATGTTCCCTTACTCTATAGAGTAATATCTCAGTATCAAAAGTATCCGTCATTCCAGGAACCATACTTTTCTGCAGATTGGGAACCAGTCCCAGACGTAAAACTAATCCAAGAACTGCTTCGGCGTGGAATGGATCCCAATTTCGAAGTGTCTGACCAGACTATATGGGGCTGCGCACTACAAAACTGCATCGAA